AAAGGGGCGAGCATGTTTTGATGGAACGGGGATTCTAACCCGCCACCCTCAGATTGTGAGTCGAGCGCCCTAACCACCTGGCCATGCCGGGTCACTTTTTTATGAGCGGATCTTCTGTTCGAGTGGAAATTTTCCCAGTGATTTCCATTCTGGAAGTTCCCTTGTGTCACCAGATGCTTTTGCAAAGCCCTGTTCATTTTTATACTTATAAAGCAAATCTTGTTGAATTGCTCCAGAAATGTCAATATCACTATCATACAACTACTTCTGGCGATCTCTTACAGTAAGTCGTGACATAACATGGTTTGTCAAAAATTTGAAACTTAATGTCTTCAATGTGCTTGCTTTTGCTTCAGAACGCGATTTTATTTTCCTGCTCTTGTGAGGATATTGTTACTGCAATGGAGACCAGAGCATCGTAGACTTAACTGATACCCGAGTGCACGAACAACATAAATTTTACTCTCATGATACTCAATTACTTGACAGTTAATCCGAGTTGGAACTAATAAGTAGACTTTATATGCTTTGAATTAAGTCGAAGAACACCATTCTTTCGGTGCAACATTTAGTTGCTTCGTTTAACACGAAATTCAGAAACTGCACATTAAATGTTTGAAAAAATACAAACTTTTTTGGCTTAAGCCTCATTTGTTTTGAATGCCATGTTTTTTATCTTTAATTCTGATCCACTGCCTACTCTTGGTTTCGTAAGACTTTCAAGTTCAGCAACATTTTTTTTCAAGCTTACTAAGAACAAGCACTGCTAGTGAATCCGAGAATTCGTGGTTCGCCGCCCTTTGCTGTAAAAACGCACATCAGGGTCCGTGGGTGCTCTATTAGTTACTATCAAATGCCACTATTCAGTCAGACTAGAGTATTTAAAGAGTTGATGGTGTATTCTGTCGATTTTCAGTTATGTAAGTTTATGCGAAAATTCTAAGATAAACAAACAAACATACCAACACTACTTGTTTCTGTTGGCGGCAAACACTTGATTCAGTCGCACATGGTTTTGTAGCTGTGATAAACCAAATGATCGTTGTCATCTGTTCTGGTGGCTTGTGTCTCAAATATAGACCCGGACAATCGAGTACTCCTTAGCATTGTAGATGCAGTCAGCACAGGAGTCTGGATCTTTTTGGAACAGCAACTAAATCAGCTCATTCTGGTAGTCCTTTCTCACATAGTACTTATGGATTTCTAGCGTGATAATTCTTCAAAGGTGTTCTTTCATGACAGAATCAAACATGGCAAATATCTAACAACATTCGGGAAATTTCCATTTCCGGACAGGAAGAGTTCATCACAAGTTTCATGAAAAGCAATACTATGAGTTCCATAAACTTTTATGAAGCCAAAAGGTCGTTCATGTAAAGCTTCCCAATGCTCTATCTCTTCTCTTCTTTAACCAGGCCTGATGATTCTGTATCGATTGTTTGGTTCAGTATGAGTCAAGATTCCAATCCTGACTTATTTTAAAATGCCCCCAGATTCTTTGTAAACAGCCCATTATTCCATTAACGACAGTGAAACGTTGAAAAGTTAGTTATGCTAAAAGTCTTCCAAAGAAAACAAAACATTATTTTTGTACTTCGCCATCGACAAGTTGAGTTTAATAAACTGTTGGGAATTTTTTTTTTCTTGTTGACTATGGAAAAGTCAAGTGTCTGTATAGCTGAACGGAACCCACTTCGACTAATTGGTGGTGCAAATTTTAGTGAACTGGATAGCCCATTTAGCTGGATAACCCATATCAATACACGTGTGCGAAAGGTTTCGTTCTGTTTTTCCACCTAGAATTTATTTATCATGAAAAGTTGATTTTGTTCAACTTCTGAGAGAATTCAGCAAGTAGTTGTAACACTGTCGTTCACTTGTTTTAGCAGCAGTAGTTTCTTGACTCATTCTAATGGTAGAGTTTTCACTTTATGCTAATGTGTTGCGTTAGAAATACTTGAGAAAAGTGCCATTTCGATTTTTTCAGATCTGCTTCTTTTCCTGCTTCACTTTTCCGATACTTAGCACATGAAAGACGATGTCTTCCATCAGCTAAGTTCTTCTTAAGTTCACTGTATAGAAGCATTTTGACATATCGATGTTCCAACTACAAAGTTTTTAGCCGTTTTGAAATAGTTTAAGAACATTTATAAAGTTAAAAGTAGTTTTATAAGAGTATTCCTATTCTGCGCACTTCCTGAAAAATGAAAAACTGTCACTGTATAGGAAAGGAAACTGAACGCTTCGTCTCGCTTTCCCTTTCTTCACCTGCAACAAATGTGCTCAGATAGGGAAATAAGAAGGATTATATTATAAACATTCAGCGACCATAGTAGGTTCTCTGATAGGGGAAGAAGAAGGGTGATATTATAAACATTCAGCGACCTTAGCAAGTTCTCAGATATGGGACGAAGAAGGTGTTATTACAAACATTCAGCTACCATAGCAAGTCCTCACATAGGTGACGAAGAAGGTGATATTATAAACATTCAGCGACCTTAGCAAATTCTCAGATAGGGGACGAAGAAGATGATATTACAAACATTCAGCTACCATAGCAAGGTCACACATAGGTGACGAAGAAGGTGATATTATAAACATTCAGCGACCTTACGTCAATTAATTAATTACGGTAATAGCGACTTTATTGTTTTGTTTTTTAGTTTTTACGTTAGTCCTACTCTT